CCCAATCCAACACTTCAGTACATTTCTAATTGTAATGCAGCGTATAGTGTTTCAGTGCACAATACAGATGTTTTCCATTATTATACAGAGAGGATACAATGATAGTTAAGTGTGTGTTTGCATTATAGTCACGGCATGAAATCATTATGTTCAGCTTTCCTGATTATATTTTTCATAAAAAGAAAAATCCTGCTCAACCTCAGTCTCTTTCCATAAGAAATAGAGCAGGAGTGGGTTACAGAAGAGCCTCCCCTAGAAGGCAGGGAGTCTACTTACTTCAAAGAAATGTAAAAGAAAAGAATACCGTGTAAATAGTGAAATGTTCTCATGCTACTCAAAAATGAATGTAGTGTCCATCAACAACAGATCTGATCTGATATACAAGGATGTCTATGGGCATGTGTATATGTTTGTGGGACCTGATAGACGATCACGTGGCTTACTTTAAACTGTGATCAGTCATAGATTAGATCCTACCTTATGCACACATTTGCCAGTGTCAGGATCTGTGCTGGAAATGTGATTTAAATAAGTCAGAGTAGAGGGAAGAGTGGGCAGGATCAGGGTGACTAGCTGATCCACAGGGAGGAATTAACAGGTTGGGAGGGGTTGGAGAGCTAAAAAAAGCCCAGTCAGCATTGGGAGGGAGGGTAGGAAAAGCTCAGCCCTTGTGCTGGGGTGAGTAGCTGGGCTTTGTCAGCCTTGTGACTGAGCTTCAATCTTGTACACAGATTGAGTTAGAAAAGACACACATTAGCTCAGTCTATGTAGTGCACAAACTTAGGTGAGTTAGGCCAGCCCTTTTTTCTGATCTAAACTCATAAAATGTATGTATGGTTCAACACTTAGATCGACCTAACCCTAGTTAGGTCGATCTAAGTGTAATGTCTGCACAGTCCTATGAAAATAGGTCAGACAGCTCTCACTCTAGGTCCATCCAGAAAAATACACTCTATTGTGGACATGTCTACATGTGCACTTTAATGCCCAGTAGTTTATGCTACTGCACATTAAAGCAGTGCATAAAAAAACTATGCTAACATGCTAATGCACAGTAGAATAGGCTACTGTGCATTAAGCCTCACCTAAAAAGCTTGTGCTACTGTGTATTTGTGCAGGCTACTGCACATTTATTAAGTTCCTCATATTGGAGGTACTACATTTAATGAGCATTAGGAAAAGCACATCAATGCATATGCCCTGTGTGCTTTAGGAGAGAGAATCTTCAGTGAAATATCTAGGTTTCCTCCCTGCTGACCTTTTGTCACTATTTAATCTATTCCTGTGACATTAGCTTACTAGTTCTTCTGTATCTTTACCTTTGACTATCTCTTTTCTTCTTTCCATACTTTCCTCTCATCCATTCAAATCAATACTGATCTTTTCTAGAAAAATGGGAAGGACTTGGGAAGGGAAGTGATCCAGCTGCCTGTGTCTTTGGTTTTCTGAGTGTTTGTTTTGTGGGCTTTGTGTGTTTGGGGTATGTACTCTGAGAAGCTGGGAGTAATTAATTGCTGCTGAGCAACTGCTGAGCATTGAGTGATTGTTGAGTGATTGCTGCCAAAAGCTGAAAGACTTGCCCCTCAAAAAAGGTGGGAAGGACCCATGAACTAGCATGCAAACTGCTTATCCTGTCTGCAGCACCTGGTCACTGGCTCCCTGGTCACCTGGGGAGTCTCCTTTTACACTCTGCTGGGCCTGGACTGGCTCTGTCCCCTTATTTGGTCATGCTTGGCATAAGGAAGTAAGGAAAAAAAACCCTTTAGGGCCATTGACAAATAGGCCAGTTCCAGGTGAGTTTGCTAGGGAAGGTCTGCTTGGAAGAAGAGCAGTAAGAGAGAGAAAGAAGATTAAGAGACCTAGGGAAATGGCTGAAGGATGTTGCAATGCTTGCACCTGTGAGGCTTCTGTCCAGGCAGGACTGCTCACCATCAATGTTGCAACCCAGGTCCAACACTGGCGCTGTGGGGACTGCGCCTTGCAGGTTCCTTCCAGTGATAGCCAGGTCGGGGAGTGCGTGCAGTGTGAGCAGTGCCTCCCAGTGGTGTCTCTCAGGGAACAGGCAAGAGAACTACAGGAGGAGGTGGCGAGGCTCCAAAGCATCCTCTGCCATGAGGTGTTCATCAGTTCACTGCTGGAGGAGACCTTCAGGACTGTGGAGGAAGAACTGCCAGATGCAGCGCTGGAGAAGTGAGAGGACATGGACACCCAAGGCGGTGGAAGGTGGAGGCTTTTGACTTCTGACAACAAGCAGAGACCTTTACTTCCACCTGCAGTCATTCATATGGAGAACAGATATGCAGCTCTAGCAGTAGAGAGGGAGGAGCTTGTTCCATTGGTGGAGGAAGACAGGCCAGACCTCACCAAAGGGGGCAAGGATTGAGTTGACTGCCAACAAGAAGTGACAGGTGGTGGTGGTTGGAGACTCCCTTCTGTGAGGGATGGAGGGAGCCATCTGCCAACCTGACCCATTGTCTTGGGGGTCTGCTGCTTGCCTGGAGCCTGGATCCAAGATATCACGGAGGGACTACTGAGGCTCATCTGGCCCTCCAACTACTAGCTCATGCTTCTTATCCACGTGGGCACCAATGATATTTCCAGGGGAGACCCTGAGCATATCAAGAGTGACTACAGGGCAAGGGTGAAAGGGTCTGGGGCTCAGGTTGTGTTCTTGTTGATCCTTTTTGTCAAGGAAAAGGGCTCAGACAGGAGCAGGTGCATTCCGAAGATCAACACCTGTCTGCACAGGTGGTGTCACCAGCAGGGATTTGGTTTCTTTGACCATGGGATGTTCTTCCAAGAAGGATTGCTAGAAAGAGATGGGATCCACCTGACAAAGAGAGGGAAGAGTGTGTTCACAGACAGGTTTGCTAACCTAGTGAGGAGGGCTTTAAACTAGGTCTGCTAGGATGAAGACCAAAGCCATGAGGTAAGAGGGGAAGTGGGAGACCTGGAGAAAGAGCAACCAGAAGGGGGCAACAAGGGAGGTGTGACGAAGGGGGCATGACTTATTAGGAAAGACTGAGGGAACTGAGCTTATTTAGTCTAGAGAAGAGAAGACTGAGGGGGGATTTAATAGCAGCCTTCAACTACCTCCATTTTCCTGAGCAGGGACCTGAACAGTCACCCCCCCTCTGGACCCCCTTAGATCCCATGGCAGGCGCACCTAGGCCAAGGGTTAGTGAGGAACTAGTTAGAGAACTTCTGGAAGGACTGGATGTATTCAAATCAGCTGGTCCAGATAATCTCCACCCTAAAGTACTGAGGGAATTAGCTGAGGTCCAGCAGGCACTGGGGAAGTCCATGTTCCCCCGCACACTACCAGGAGTGACCAGGAATAATGGTCACAAGCTGGCAGAAGGTAGATTTAGGCTAGATATCAGGAGGTGCTACTTCACTGTCAGGGTGGCTAGGATCTGGAACCAACTTCCAAGAGAAGTGGTGCTGGCTCCTACCCTGGGGGTCTTTAAGAGGAGGCTAGATGTACACCTTGCTGGGGTTGTTTGACAGGAGGCAGGAGGTCAGACTTGATGATCTGCTCAGGTCCCTTCCAACCCTAGAAACTATGAAACTACCTGAAGTGAAATTCAAAAGAGGATGGAGATAGACATCTCAGTGGTGGCAGATGACAGAACAAGGGTCAATGGTCTCTAGTTGCAGCAAGGGAAGTTTAGGTTAAATGTTAAGAAGAATTTTCTCACTAGGAGGGTAGTAGAAGCTCCATCCTTGAAGGCTTTCAAAAGCTGGCTAGACAAAGATTTGGTTGGGATGATCTAGTTGAGGATGGTCCTGCCTTGAGCAGGGGGTTGGACTAGATGACCTCCTGAGGTCCCTTCCAACCCTAATTTTCTATGATTCTATGACTTTTCCTTCCATTCCTATTCCAGTGTCATCCTCTTTACCATGTTCCCAGTTACGAACATAAGAAATTCCATGTTGGATCCACCTAGCCCAGTAACCAATATCTCACAGAATGCATCTACACATGCATTAATACACATTAAATTCAGTACTTCCATTGTAGGAAAATGCACATTAGCCTATCTTAATGTACATTAACTAAAGAGCACAGGGTGCCCATACATGAACGTGGAGGCTGCTGGCTTCTCTGGTGGTCCTACTGATTCCCTGTCGGTCTTCTCCTGCACATGGATCTCTTGCAGCTTCTGCTACCTCAGCCTCTGCTGGCCTTCCTGCTGGCTCCTTCTGTCCCTGCCCATCTTCTCCAGCTCAGAGATCTCCTGCAGCTCTGGCTGCCACCACTGCCACCGCTGCTGGTCACCCTGCCAGCTCTTCTGATCCCTGTTGGACTTCCCCCATGCTTCAAACTGGCATTGGGGGTGCTTGAACTAAAGCATTTCAAATGAGCCTTAATTCCAGTGCCCCTACTGCTATTTTGAAGCACGGGGATGTTGATACATGAGATGCTGCAGTTCTTTAGTTAGAGTGGCTCTTAGAGCCGCTCTAATTAAAGTGCCACCCCCAAAACCCCCGGATCACAAGTAAAAGTGCCCACGGTTTTTAAGTGAGGCTTAATGTGCATTAGCCTATTTTAATGCACATTAACTAAAGAGCACAGTTTTTAGGGACACTTAAATGCATATTAAAATAGGCAAATGCAGATTGAAATGCATGTGTAGATGTTCCCTAGTGCAGGTACTATGGTGGAGACTATTTATGCAGGGTTTATCCAGATCTGTCTCTCATAATATGTCCCTTACTCCCTTTCCCATGCAATTTCCAGGATTTTGAGACCTAAGAAATCCTAATTTGAAGGTTAGAGACCTACTAATATGTTTCAGTAAATAAAGTTATTGTTTTATGGTGTCAACTTTTAATGAATGCCCATTTCCAAAAATAAAGATTTTTGTAATCTCCCTGATTGTGAAGGCATGAATAACTAGCCTGGTTAACAAAAAATGACTCTTGTATGTAGACTTTTGTATGTGTAAACAATATATTAGATGCACAAAAGCAACAACTACCTGGGAAACTTTGACCACAACTGCATGTGGATCTTTGAAAAATAGAACCTAAAATAATGAAAAGAAAGGGTTTAGTGGAAATAGAAATGCAGGGGTCATGTATTGTTTATTATCCAGGCAGTGACATGAACAAAGAAAGCCTCAAAGCCATGACAACAGCAAGCCCTAGACCCAGTGGAAGTGAAACATGCCTGCTTTCTTTTCTGAATTGTATAAAATACAGAATTGAGTGCTAGGAGGCAGAAAAGAGTAAAAGACAATGACCACTGACTACTGACTTTCTGTTATTTTTAAATAGATTAAATGTAGTAGTTGAAATGGTTAAATAATGCGAGAGAGAGTGGTTTGAGCAGTGTCGAAAAACATTTTATGGTGAATCAGTTAAAACATCTCATAAAGCCAGTGGAAGGAGAAGAAACTCAGAAGCATGGGTTTGAGAAAAAGTGGAACGGAACATCAATGCTACAAGAGACGTAGACAAAATTGGGTGCATCTACACATATACATTTACTGTGCAGTAACCAAAATTACTGCATAGAATGTCTACACATCTGCATATGAATACCTATACTGTTCAGTAGATACAGTGAAAGATTTCTGTTTTCAGATTATTCACAAATAGATTGATTTTTATTAATGAGTTTCTTATTTACAATTTTTTGGCAAGTACATCATGTAAACATATTCAGCCTACAGTTCTTTCACAGGCAGGAGTCCAGACATCTAGCCACCACTTATTACTGGCTGTTTGTACATGCTACAGGGGTTTACTTCAGTTTAATTCTCCCTAAATTGAAGCGGTGGGTTTTTAAAACCCCGCCTTAATTTAAACCAAAGTAAATCCCCATGGCACGTACAGAAGGGTTGGGCCCAATCCTTACATGCCTCTTTAGCAGCAGGGTGTGGAGGGGAGGGTGAGCTGCCAGCAGGCTGAGCAGGTGCTGAGCTGGTGGGGGGCGTGTGCTTCCCTCTGTATGGCGCCCCCCCAGGTGGCACCTGCCCGCAGGCACCCAGCTCAGGTGCAGTGCAGGGCAGTGGAGAGCAGTGGGGATTGTCCCCCCACACACCTGGTTGGAGTCAGTGAGTGAGGGGCTTTTAAAAACAATTTTTTTTTTAAAGAGCCGGGATGCTGGGGCAAGGCAGGACAGCAATTGATGGGACTGGGAGAGTGGGCAGGGGTTGAGGGGCACTCAGGGGGCCTGGGGGAGCAGGCAGGGCATGGGACCTGGTGGAGGTCCCCCCATGGTCCCCTTCCCCCCTCCTCCAGCCCCCCCATCCTGCCCCCTACTTACAGGCACAGAGTCCGGGTCCAGCTCCCTGGAGCGACAAGCGGGTACTGCCCCAATCTCTGAATCTCTCCAAAGCTCTCCGAATCTCTTCTGAGTTGATTAAGAAAGTTTTTAATCAATTCGGACCTTTTTATTTGTCTCCCAATTCAATTAGGATTTGGAGATTCAGCCGCTAAACCGGTCTGAATCTCCTTCAAATTAAATCAGCACCCAAAGCTTTGCACAGCCTTATTGAACATGCTTATTTCCTTCAGCATCTCTTGATATAACTTGCTTGCCAATCCCTTTAAAATCTTTGCCACTAACCTCTGGACTCTGTAACATCTCTGTGTCCTTTTTAAAATGTACACCCACCCTAAAACTGTACACAGTACTCTAGATAAGGCTTAAACAGCGGCAAGTGAAGAGGTACTAAAGGGAGGATATAGGCATAGCTTAGGGGTGGGCAAAATATGGTCTGCAGGCTGAATCAGGCCCATGAGGCCATTCTATCTGGCCCCCAGGGCCCCTAAAAAATTTAGAAAATTAATATTGATCTGTCCTCGGTTCCTGTAAAAAATGACAGGAACCAGGGGCAGTAGGACCCAGGGGAAGCCCGGTGGGCTCCCGCAACAGCAGGGCCCGCCGCCCCCCCCCCCAGCTGGAAGCTCCAGCATGGCTTGGGACCACGTGACTGCACTGGCACCAGAAACTCAGGTATGGGAGGGGAGGGCAGGGGAGGACCCTGGGCAGGGAAGGAGCTAGTGTGGAGTGTGGGGAAAAACAGCCCCTCGCCTGCCCCGTGGCCCACACTCCCTGGTCACACTGGCTCTGGGCTCGCCTGTCAGGGTTGCATTGCAGCGGCAGCAGCTGCAGCCCCCTCACCTGCCTTGCTGGGCAGTGTTTGCTGCTGCTGCTGCTGCTGCCCGCCTGGAGCTCGCACACTGGGCAGCCCAGAGGTGGCAGTGGCAAACAGTGTCTGGTGCAGTGGAGCTGCAGCTGCTGCTGCTGTGTGCAGCCCCAATAGGCAAGCCTGGAGCCAGTGCAGGGCTGGGTTACAAGCTGCTGCTAAGCGCAGCAGGGAAAAGTGGCCCCTCCCTGCCCCGTGGCTGGTGCCCCACACTGCAGCCACTCACAGCCTGCATGGGGCTGCCTGTGCCTGCTCAGGACAGCCCCATGTGGGCTGCAAGTGGCTGCAGCAGGGAGTGTGGGCCATAGGAGGGACCACTTTTCCCTGCACTCAGCACCAGCTCATTACCTGCTGGTGAGCATGGAGTCAAGGCTGCCCCCAACCTGTACCATGGGGCTAGGGGACACTAGGAGTGAGCGGGTACACAGGGCCCACACTGGTGTCCCGGGACCAGTGCCAGCAGGGTTCAGAACAGGGCAGCAGGAGTACAGGGTTCCAGCCAGCAGGGGGTCTATGGAGCCAGGTCAGCTCCCCACTCTCCCTGCTGGTGCAGCCCAGCCCAGCTCCACAAACCCCTGCCAGCCTGCAGGTCTGGGCCCCATTGGTGCTGACCCTGGCCCATTGGTCTGAAAACATTGGTGACCAGGGGGTAGGGTGCCTGTTAAGGGGCAGGGCTACCCATGTGGCCCTCAACAGCTTGCCAAAACTGGATAAGCAGCCCTCCACCCAAAATAATTGCCTGCCCCTAGCATAGCTATTCCTATATTTCACTATGGGTAGTTTCTGTGCTTCTGCCCTTTGCTGGTTGTCCCCCCCCCACAGGAATTTTGATTGGCGTGTGCCAGTGGTTTGGCTGGGACTTGAACCTGGAGGTTCCTGGCTAAAAGGTCTTGTCCCTATGCACAGGGTCAGACCAATCATTGTATTTGGGGTTAGGAAGGAATTTTACCTTAAGGTCAGATTGGTATAAATTACGGGGGGGTTTGCCCTCCTTTGTAGCAGGGGGTGTGGCCCTCTACAAGGGATCCCTTGAACATATTAACAACCTTTTTACAGAAGCAGAACATTGGCTGCCATGGTCCCCCTGCTTTACCTGTGGCAGGTTAGGGTGTTATGTCTTGTGTTATGTCAGGGTTGACAGTAGTTTTCATGAAGAGTTTAGATTATTGATTATTTAGATTATTGATTTGTATAGGCTGTTTTGGATATCCTGATCCTGCCTCAGGCAGGGTGTTGGACTAGATGACCTCTGGAGCTCCCTTCCACATATGATAAGTCGAATAAGTGGATACTTCTCTATGGGCTCCTATACATGTGTAGGGACATGCTCTGATGAGACTGAATCGAGTTTGCTGGAGCATGGAAATTACCATGCTCCAGCAGGCTCCAGTATCAAGTAATTGCTTTCAAATTTAGTTCACTTTGAAAACCAAATTTCAGCCCAGCTGAAAACTGGCTTAGTTTCTGATCATTTATCTGTGCTTTTAGAGCAAATATTTTTTAGGAAAGAATTTCAGAGGCAATGATCTCCATGTTTCTGATTTCTTGATTCATACTGAAGTGGCTTCAATTAAACCTGCAATTGCTTTCCAGTTACACTTTGTCAACATGTCTCAAAGAGATTCTTAAGGCTCAATCTCTAGATCCAAGAACCTATATTAATATCCAGGAACACTTAGCCATTGGTTTCTTCCCTGGGTCTGCCAATAACTGTGTTAGGTATTGTTAACACTGGTAGGATTGTTTTTATGATGTGGACTGAAATCATGAAATAAAGGGACACTAAAGAACAGAAGGCTTAACAATAATATTATGAATTGTGTAGACTGGAAGTATTTGGACCTCTGGCTATAGAAACCATAAGAAGCTGCATGGTGATGTACACACTACAGGAATCCAACAATTTTTAACTGTTGTCATCAATATACTCTTACTGTGAACTTGTTCACAACTAGACTTTTCAGTCTTAAAGGAGTCCTACTAAGTATACGTGAACTTTTCAGTTCTTATTTTTCTTTACTTGAACTAATTTTAGTGGAACTGTGTGTTAGATTTAGAAAAAAATAATTTTATACTGTTACCTGTGGTCAGCATTTCATTATGCTGGTCAGATACCAATGCTGGGCATCATGAAAAACAGCAAGCAGTACTTTCTTTGAAGTCTAGAGAATAGAAAAATAGCATTCCAGGCTTAGAATACATCAGCTGTAAACATACTGCATACCCACAGGCAATTACTGTACATTCTGTATGTCAGGATAGCTTGCTGTATTATTAAATAACTTTCTGAAAACCTAATTTGCAGGACAGCTATATGATGTGAAAGGGAAAAGAAAAAGATTAGGATAAGACTTTCCTTCAGTCGACACTGATGGCTGGGGCTTTCAATATCCATTAGGATCTAGACAGGTGCCTTCCTCCCACACATACATACAAGGTAACCATACAGCTAATATGTTCAAAGTCATAAAGAGCACAATACTACACTCTAGCCTATTAGGATACTAATTTGATCTCTAGCATCCCCTTATTATAAAACACACCATAATAAGTGTTTCTTTGATAGGAAGCTACTGCACTTTGGTTTACATCTTATTTGAAGCTTGGTACGGACATTTTAACAACATTTATTAATCTATTGCATATAATACGAATAACATAGGTCCCAAAAGTAGTTCTACAGACAGACATCTTAATACTTGCTTGTTCTGAGGGAACTACCCCAGTAAGCAGTTTTAACAGTTTTGAAGCAATTACCAATATAAATGACTGCTTATGTCTTTATATGTGGACATCTGCTGAATATTATTTAAGTACTGCTACTTAGGTGCTTAGTAAAAGGTATACATAATAAATAAAATCCAGGTAACATAAGGGGTGATGGCCTGAAACTGGAACTTGGAAAACTTCAACATTGACGTGAAAAAATTTTTAACTATGAAGTTCATGATTTGATTTATGAAAATTATAGAGACACCAACAAAAGGGTCCAAGAAAATATTGGAAGTAAAACTTAGAGAAAGAGATTACAAAATTATCCCATATGTACTGGGTCTGAATTTAACAAAAGGTTCCTTAGCTCTTAAATAATATATAAAGAAAATTTTAAATGGTCTGTCAAGAAAATGGGCAGAGAATCTTACAAAGCCATAACTCCTTCGCCTGTGAACCAACTTGCGGGTATGACTTTCACTTTTTTATTTGGGTATTATTTACAAATCTAAGTTGCGAAAACTTGAACATTTTGCAACACCTTTCTATCATTCTATCATTTCTATCATTCTATCAATACTTTTTAAATAAAGGACATCTGATCCATGGACCAACATTTTCTAGGCAAAACCTGACAAAAAGCAGAGCAACTACATTTACAGAGTTTTGCCTCTGTGTGTGAACAGGTGGGACTGTGAAATATGAGGGCAGAAGAAAGAAACAAGATATAACTAAGTGGGATAATAAAAAAGTGTATTTCTTATGCTGCTTTATTTCTTGCACCTAACTGGCTTGTTGAAGACAAGAATCTATATTGTACTCCACTAGCATGTAATGTAATGAGTGGGCACCCATGCATACCAGGGAAGTCTGGAGGAAGAAGCAAATTGTGGGTAAGGAGGATGACTGTGAAATCATTGGCTTGGTGAACCGAGAAGAGTAATGCTATTTCTGTTAGTCCGATAGGAAGTTTCATGATGGGAGAATCAAAAACCCAAGGCCCACATTCTCCAGTAATGTTTCACAGCTTCTACTATAACTGTACAGGTCTACACCATCCTGAATCAATGGCTGTGACATAATTTAGCTAAAGTACTTGTAGACAGTTGTAGGCATCATAAGAAGTCTGGACTTAATTCTACATTTTGTCAGAACTCTGGCTGAAAAAGATGAGCATCAAAGGCACTGCAGCTCTCCAATGTAGAGCCATCTAGTCCTGTGTGCAAGCAATTTTAAGCTACAGTGCTGCTTTGAGGTCACTTAATGACCTTATGTCAGCAGAATACTACCCATAGCTTAGTTGTGCTCTACCATATATCCCCTTTCCATTACCAGACCACCACCTATGCCCCTTACTTCCTTGTATATTAGAGACAAGAGAAAGATGGGGAAGCTTGCATACCTTAACACCAGCAGACATGTCCTTTGCACAGGCAAAATTCTCTGTTGGCCTTCATTGCTCTGCTTTGTGGCCATTTATATAGCTCAAAATGGCCTTTCCTGACCAGAGAATCTGGTCTTCTGTTCCCTTCCAAAAGACTAAACTAAGACAGTGTGATTCAAATTGCATGGTGTTTAATTACATATCTGCTACCCTGTTATAAAATATAGAATCAACTACCTGTTCATTATGGGCCAGATTCCAATCCCCATAATGGTATTAAATAGCAGATTACTGTACAAACAGTGCAGTGGATCTCGGTGGAACTACTTCTAATCATCAAGATAGAAAGGATTAAAATCTGCTTCCACATCCCATTATATATACTTAACATAGACATACATCAAAAAATCACGTAAAACATATTCCAACTATATACATAATATAATCTCACTTAGTAGGATACTTTTTCTCTTCTATATTTGACTGTAGGTAAAGTCATTTTATGCATTCTATCCTGTCCTGGCTATGAAAAAGTAAATGCTGTATTACCCCAACTTAGGTAACCCTTAGGATAATTTTTTAAGCAGCAGGAAACTGGACTATCTGGCTGAGTAGATAATGATATCAGCTGCTTCCTTCCAAAACAACAGGTGCTTTGGCATAAAAATGTATATCATCATACTGAGATGATGACATCAGTTCATACTTCAGCTTAATTATAAACTACCTCCATTAATCCTCAAATAATTAAACACTTCGTGTATGCTACAAGGTGAAATATAAAAGCAAAAGGTGCTTAGCTGTTCATCACAGGGTTAAAATGTCAGTGCTAGTTTATTAACCATTTGTTTTGGTGCCTGCCCATTCAAATGCAAACTTGAAGCTGATTTTAAAAATATGTTTAAATGTTATTGTATCAAATACAAGGTGGATAATAATACAGATCACTAAAATTCAATTAAATCTTGATTAAGCATTAAGATTAATGCAATGAAATCATTGTAAGCATTCAGCTGAATAAAGAGCATATACACAAATAAAGGTTTGTAGGATTTAGACCCTGTCTGTGTGTGAATAACTGAGAAGGATGGACTTGGTGCAGGGCATGGAGATAGGACACAGCCAGTCAATATGTCTGTAGATTTTGTGTGGTGATATTTTGTCTTGGGAACACATGCTTAAACAGTACAGCTGAATAAAAGGAACTCAAAGAAAGAACTCTCTTTCTTGGACATATTGTTATAATATAATATAATATAATATAATATAATATAATATTTTTCTTAAAAAATAAAACAGCAATAATACAACAATATATTAGCATTTATTTGCTTATTTATTAATATTCATTTAAAATATTTAAATGCATAAAAATACTTTCAGGCAAAGCCCATGGGCTCTTACCTCATATATTCATTGATGGCTAGCACATTCTGCATGTACAATTTATTACAGTTTCAAAAATGAACAACAGATTGCACATCTTTTGATTTGGTATAAAAACCAGTAGACAGAACTGAATGAGAATTAACTGAGTTCCTAAGCTAAAAGAGCAGAGAAGCACAGCAAATAAAAGATTATGTTCTTCTGCCTTTAAATTTAAAATATAGCACTGACCTTCTTTAAAACAGATGC